AAGTACACAACAAAGGAGCCACCCTAAAGGAGTACCTTGGGGTTGGGCCTACTCAAGGGTCTCTTTATGTATGTAAGGATTTATCAACTTGATCAGAGTTGAACCTTCGTACTCCAGACTCCTACCCATACAGTATCTATTAGAAATCAGATTGAGCAGTAGCTTTAATATCAAAATCATGATCCAGTAGAATGTTGTGAAAATAACAATGTAGTTATTTAAATCACATGAATGCCCTCAATCCGTACACCAAAATACAGTCTCATACTAAGGGAGTTCCTTGGGGCCTTAGAGCCTACGCAAGGAATACCTTAGGTCCGTAAAGAATTACCAGCTTGATCAGAACTGAACCTCCATACTCCAACCTAATCAGATAATGTCCCAATAAAACATTTCAAGTAGTAACCAGTAGATTTCATGATCCAAAAGCATGAACGATTATATATTTCAGTGAAAACAAGTAACCAGAGAGCACATGTCAGGTATCCATAGTTCATAAACAGTAAATCAGAATATTGAACAGTTAAAAGATTCAGTAAAATAGTAACTTTAGTAAATCACATTTCAGGACAGATAAAATAATCATATAGCACATAGGTAACACTAGAGGATCCAATTATTCTCTGGAAGTACTTGGTATTTATCAGGTAGAGAACCTCGAAACTTTTGTAATTTGATAAAATTTTAGAAATGAGATCTATATTAAAAAGGGTTCGGTAGCTAACAGATTAATTAGTCATTCATAAAGTGATATATCAGGATCATCTAGTGTTTAGATATATCTGAAGGGTATTTAAGAGCTATTGTATCAGAATTACTTAAGATTCATATATTTCAAGGGTGATTACATCAATCAGATTCAAAAAGGTATTATAGTCATTTGATTCTTAAGAAATTTGATAAATCAATTTAATGGTATGCATCGATTTATAGAATTCCAGATTCCAAACATCTTAACAGGTTTCCAATTCCAATCGCATTGTACAAATCCCAGCAAAGGCAATACTTATCAAGTATTTAGGTAGAGAAAACTTCACGAATGTTAATTTCTTAAAACTGACTGCACTGTAAAATCGAATTGATCATCTTCAGAACCATTTTTGAACTGATCATGAGGATACGAGCATGTATTTAAGTGGTATTTAATTACTTATCATATTGTAACAGTATTAGGACTGATCGATCTACTTAGGTTGTACTCTATAAACCTCAAGGGCGTTATCGTAATTAAAGCTTCATCGATATCTTCAGAATTTATCCAAAACATTTGCTCAATCCAAGTCTTGATGGTATTTAGGTCATTTTGGTATTCGAGGTTGATTTATTCATTTTAGAGCTTGAGGGTATTTAATCATTCTAGGGCTTGGAGGTACTTTGGGTCATGTTACACTTCAAGGGTATTTTGGTCATTTCTTTCAGCCCAGTCTTTCCATTTAATTTAATTTTTCCGAACAATCCAAACATAAATAGTATTTCTAATGTTTTACACTTTAGGAATTTGTTGATAAATCAATAATTCTAGATCTTGTACCTTCATAGTTGTTAAGATCTGATTATCAATGACTTTCCGAATAGATCAGGAATTTAACAAGTAAATCATTAGTTTATCGGATTAAATATGAATTCACATGGTATTTTCACTGTCAAGGTCAGTCCGGACCATTTTTACCTAATAGGGGTAATCTCGTAATTTCTTAATGAAGTATTCTCGACATTTAACCTTTAAAGAAATTAATCAGAATTTTGGATCCTAATGTCATTTTATTTACTAACTAATCCCTAAACTTAGAATTGTTTTCGATCAGTCTACCAATTTCTTTTGTAAGCCGTCTGAGTCTTATACAGTGTTATGCCTTTATTTCATATTCAATTTGAGTCCAATGATATTAAATACACCTAATTAACCAATAATTTTCATTCATACATTTACCAATTATCAATGAGTTTCGAAAAGCATACAAAATGTAGTAAAATATTACCTCGATTTATAAGCCATATTGGTTAACTAATTAAACTCCATTTGCTCATCCTCAAACTTTAATTCCATGTCCTGTAATGTCTCAGATACATGGAAAAACCAATTACATTAGAAACGGAACTTAAACGTGAAAATTCGTATTGAATCGGGAGATAAAATGCCGAAAACAACTTATTGAGTTCGAATTTGGCAAAACAGACTTCGGATTCGGACACAAGACGTCGAAAAACATAAAATATGATTTTTTTAAAAAATTTGACTTTTTGGTCAAAGTCAACGATCGACGAGTCAGATCTATTCTAATTGACTCAGATCGGTCTGAGTTGACTCGATTCGGTTCAGGTTGACTCAGACCGGTTCGGGTTGACTCATACCGGTTCGAGTTGACTCGAACCGATTCTAGAAAGCCCACTGGACAACATATAAGCCCCACGTGCGCTGCTGGCGCGTGGCGATGCATGGCGACAGCGACAAGGCAGTTTCGGACGGTCGATTTCTTCGGGAGCATCACCACATTCAAACATAAGCAAAAAACTTAAATTAACAACCATAACACGGTGAAACCATCGAATAAAGGTGACGAGAAACTTACCTACGATGATCGGCGATGGGTCGATTTCGAACGACGAAACCGATCGGGTTTTAGTCAGAATCTCTTGATGAGTACAAATGTGGCTGGTGAGATGCTAACCGGCGACTGGAAGGGTTGAAAACTGTGAGAAACTGAAGGGAGAAAAATGGGTTTTCGGTGAACTTCTCAACGCTCCTCAAAGGCGGACACTTGGATATTTCTGCGAGTGACTGGCTGGGGCTTGATGGCGCTTTAGTTAGGCTAGGTAGTGACACCCACTGGAAGACGGTGGCGTCAAATCGAGGAGGGCGAGTCGGGATGGTTTTTCACTTATTCGCGTCTAACGGTGACTGATTCAGGCGATCTGAGGGTTATGGATAAGTCACCAATTGCTGCTGAGTTCGATTGCGACGACGGTGTACTACACCGACGACTGGAGGTGACTGATCGGAGGACAACGTGGATGGTTTGGGTTGGTGAAGGAAATGGGTGGATTTTAGGGTTGGTTCGAGGTTTTTTATGGGTTAACACCCAACAAAATTATAATAAAACGTATATTTTATTAATTAAAACATAAACAGAAGCTTAGTCTAGACGGTTAGGGCATGTACAACCGTACTTGGGAGACAAGGGTTTGAACCCCCTAGCCACTAACTCCATTTTTTTTCTATTGACCAGAAAAAATGAGATATTTTATGGTTAAGTCCCTAAAATTCTCACATGTTCTAAAATCTAGCTAAAAAACTTTTGAAATTTATAATTTGATCCTCAACTTTCTTTTAATTAAATTTTGGGGTGTTACACTCTTGATATCACATTAAATTCATATCGTAAGATTAATATTTCTTCAATTATTACAAAATTAAAATTATGCTTTATTAGTTTTAAATTAATAAAAGCCAAAATAATATAATTACTAGTAAAGTGCAAGAATGTGTATAGTTATTTTACCTGAATTTCCAAAGGTTGGATACTAAAACGTGGGGCCCTTGTACATGCAAAAGCAAAGCAATATGCAGCATATAGAAAAGAAGGAATTAATTAATGTGAATGGGTGGGCGAGTAGGACACGGTGGCTTCCCCCGTTTGACGGGTCCAAATTTAACATACCTAATTTCTCTCTCTTTCTCACGCCTTATAATTTCACTGCCCAACAAAGGATCCTTCCCCCATGCCTAATTGAACCTTACACCTAACCCAAAACGGAGGCTGATTTTACCAAACTGATATCCTTTTAATCGATTATCTTCCATTATAGCATCATTTCACTTATATTTCTTGAAATAGTACCCTTTGTGTTTAGATAGCGGAAGGCGTATCATCGGGGACGCGCTTTCCATGAATTTAAGCTGACTCAGATGACACGTGTGAAAGACGCATCTCTGTGGACGCGCCTTTCATTAAATGACTTTAATGCCCATCTGATTTTTCCCCAACTACCCCTCCTCCTCCCCTATATAAACCCCCTCAACCCCCTCATTCTTCACACCAAAATCATCTTCTTCTCTCTTATATAATTCAAATTCTCCAAATCTTTGAGTTTTAAATTTCTTATTAGTGGTAAGAAATTTATTTTTAAGATAGTATTTTTTTTACATAGTTATTATATTTTATATTAATATAATTATATAAATATTATTTTTTATTAAAAATAATATTTATATAAATTATTATTTATTTAAATTTATTAATTAATTATTTTTTTGTGCTAATTATTTTTTTGGTCTACAGTAATAATGGAAAGTGAAATGCTGCTGCGATTGGATACTGACCATATCTCCAGACATTTTAACGATATTATCATCAATAATTATTTACTATAATTTCTCAATTTATAATAATAATAATAATAAATTAAATGTGTAATTATACTAATTTTATTAACTTATGCATCAATATTTTGGTTAAATAATAATAACAGATAATTAGATTGATAATATTTAAATAATTAAGTGATAAAATCAATAGATTGATAATCAAAATAAAAAATAATAATATAACCATACGTGTAATATAATAATTTTATACATTTTTCATATAACTACAATAAAATAAAAATTAGTTTTCATCTATTATTCTATCCGATTAATGTGGATAATACATTCTACCTTTAACACACATTAAAAAAATTCATTCGATAATTATTAAATTATAGCCGAAACAATTTACATAATATATTACTAATTTATAATAACAATAAAAATAAAAATTTTATTATTAAAAAAACATACCACCGTGTCACCTAAGTCAGCAAAACCCCGTGAAGGCGCGTCATCAGGGATGCGCCTTTCACACGTGTCACCTGAGTCAGCATAAATTCATGGAAAGCGCGTCCCCGGAGATGCGCCTTTAAGCCACCTCAACACAAAAGGTGTTATTTCGAAAATATAAGTGAAAGGGTGTTATAATAGAGACCCTATTCTCGGTTACTCACCTCCGGTGGCGCGTACTGTCTACCCTCCCCAAATGGGCCAATCCCCTTCCGCAGCTTCGAACCGGGAAACCTCCCTCACCTTTTCATCCTCTTCTACTTTCGTTTCCGACGAGGACTTCCTATATGAAATCTCGGCGAAGGGGGATTACAGCGCTGAGATTCCCGACGAGTGTTTGGCTTATATTTTCCAGTTCCTCGGCCCTGGCGATCGGAATCGGTGTTCCCTTGTCTTCAAGCAGTGGTTTCGCGTCGACGGTTGGAGCCGCCACCGCTTGTCTCTCAACGCCCAATCTGAAATCGTTTCTTTTCTGCCGAATCTATTTACGCGCTTCGACTCCGTGACTAAACTCGTCCTACGGTGTAGCCGTAAATCAATCAGCTTAACGGGCGATGCTTTGCTTACGATCTCAATCCATTGCAAAAACCTCACACGGCTGAAGCTCAGAGGTTGCCGCGAAATCACTGACGAAGGAATGTTGGCATTTGCTCAGAATTCTAAGAATTTAAGAAAACTTTCTTGTGGGTCTTGCTTGTTTGGAGCTAAAGCTTTAAACGCCTTCCTCGATCATTGCAACTACTTAGAAGATTTATCAGTGAAAAGGCTCAGAGGAATTCATGACGGCACTGAGCCGATCGGACCAGGTGCCGCAGCTTCTTCGTTGAGAATGATTTGCTTGAAAGAACTTGTTAACGGTCAGTCTTTTGCCCCGCTTGTGGTTGGATCAAAAAACCTTAAAACTTTGAGAATTATTCATTGTTTGGGTGATTGGGATACTGTCCTTCAATTAATTGGAAACCGAAATCAAAACGGTAATGAAAATTTAAATTCTGATATCAATTATAGCAGTAGTAACAGTAACCCTATGGTGGAAATTCACCTTGAGAGGCTTCAAGTGAGTGATATAGGCCTATCTGCGATTGCAAAATGTACCAAAATTGGGAATTTGCACATTGTGGAAACCCCAGAGTGTTCGAATGACGGGCTTGTTTGTGTAGTTGAGAATTGTAGGTTTCTGAGGAAGCTTCATATTGATGGATGGAGGACTAATAGGATTGGAGATGAGGGTTTGATTGCTGTAGCCAAACATTGTTCCAATTTACAAGAACTTGTTTTGATCGGTGTTAATGCTACCCATTTGAGCTTGTCGGCCATGGCATGTAATTGTTCGAAGCTTGAGAGATTAGCTCTTTGTGGAAGTGGAACTATTGGTGATACAGAGATTGCATGCATTGCTGCAAAATGTATGGCGTTGAGGAAACTTTGCATCAAGGGATGTCCGATTTCAGATATTGCCATTGAAGCACTTGGTTCAGGTTGTCCCAATTTGATAAAAATTAAGGTGAGGAAATGTAGAGGAGTGAGTAGTGATGGAAGTGAATGGTTGCGGGAACAAAGGGGATCGATGCTGGTCAATATGGATGCATTTGACATAGATTGTGGTTTCAAAGCCGGTGTAAGTGATGGTGGAGTTCATATGGAGTTTCCACAGGCAGTTGGCCAAGTAACTGGTGCAGAAGCTTCAACAAGAAGCAATGGTAGGTTATCATTGTTGAGATCAAAGTTGGGGCATTTTTCCAGTAAGAATTTAGTAGCATGCACAGTAAGACGGTGGTCTAATAGCGATGGTAGTTTCAGGAGCAACTTGTGAATGATCTTTGACTCTTTGTAGGAGTTTAAAAACTTAGCTTGCTCTGATCTCATTGCAGGCTTGCAAGTTTATATGTTGTGTCATTTCTTTAATGCCTACTTGTATTGATTGATTTAGATTTTTATCTCTTGGAAATTTGTAAACCTTGAAGGAAAGGCAATGGGAAATGAGTAGTGCCCTAGGATTTTCTCATTATTGCTTTTAGCCGTAGGCATCTTCTTCAGCTCCCCCTTCCCTTTAATGTGCTGAATATGCTATTTATTTTAGCTATGTGCATATGTTTTCCTTTATATATCGTTTTGATGATTGTGTATAGATGTTGCATATTATATCATACAATATCGGTGTTTGGAGTGATTCCGATTTTTTTATTTCTTTTAATATTCTTGGTTTCATATGGCATATTTCTGCCTGAATTATTTATTTCTGGTTTTAAACACTCTTGACAGTTTATCTTTTGTTTTCCTAGGTGAGTCCGTGTTGCATTAAACCGAACTGAGGAGAAATTTGGTTGATCACTTAACTTGGCTGCTGGTCGGGTAAGCTTCGATTCTGAAGTCCATACAATATTAACGAATTCGTCAATTGCCTCTATGGGGGAAAACAATAGCAATTATTCTATTTGTATCTTCTGTGAATGAATGATTCATATTTTGCATCAGGTGTTTTCATGCTTCTTTTATTTATATACGATTAAACTCTTAATGCAGAATCAATATATAGTTCAATATCTTTCATAATCTTCTTCATCTCCAAAACTGAAGACCGAGACAGCAGCAGCAATTGCCATTGTCATGATATCACTCGCTCACATTGAGCTTGTTCCAGGGATCTTGAATCCGGAGGAAGGTTTGCCAACGCCATTAATAATGCTAATGTCTTCGATAGCATTGTCTGATGAAGGCTCTTGATTTTTTTATAGATGGTTTGATAATTCCATGCTTAGACGTCCCTATTTGCTCGGCTGCCGGGTTAGATAGATCACTGGAGACTGTATTCGGCATACAGAATCTGCCGACTTCTTTTCCGACCCCTTGAATCATCTCCAATGCATTTGGAGAAGGCATCATCATTGCTTTCGCTTCCAGAAGTTTCAGGTTTGGTTTGAATTAGCGTTGACTCCATTGTTGGCAGAATCAAAACGATATAATTTGTAGTCATAATTTACTAATTGGATCTTGAATCCAAAGAAACGTCATAAAAAACTTTAGTAGTTGAATCATTTTCAAGGTAAAAAGTGTGAATTTCACACTGCATTTTGAAATTGACAATGGAAAAAGAAAGCATTATGTCATTCGGATCCTTGGCTGTAAAATTCTACGTGGTTGAAGCACATGTTTATGTCGGAAAATTATTTACCGCCACTTTAGTTAATTTTGCTCTCCGATAATTTGTCTTAATAGATTAATAAATATAAACATGTAGGTGTAAAACAAGTGGATACCCTTTATTTTATTTATCAAAGAAAAAAGTATTCGTTGATTAGTATATGCTTATTCTTTATATTCATTAAATAATAAATACTATATAAGATAGTAGCAATCCAGGCTAATACCATTTGGGATTGGTTATGGAAAGACGGACTAATATACGACTGCGTGACTGAAAATTTAATAAGATACTTAATAAAGTCGGTTAAACGTTATCGGAAACGTTATCGGAAATGTTGACTAATAATAATGTTGTAGGTGGAAAATATGAAAAAATAGTAAAAAAGTTAGCAACCGACAAACTTTGTTTATCGGTAGGTATTGATATCGTGCACAAAAGTATTGATATATATAGTAATATATAAGAAAGTGAAGAAAATTGGTTAAAAGTAGACATGTATCGATACCTTTATAAGTATATGTATAAAAGTATCGGTACTTTAGTAATTTAAAAGAATTGTAATAAAAGCACCTATAAAGTATTGATATTTTACACACATGTATCGATACATGACAATATAACATGTTGAAATTTGACAAATCCAGTTTCAATTTGACAAAACAGGTAACGAATTTGAAAAAACCGATTGAAAATCGACAAAATCGGTTGAAATTTGACAAAATCAATTTCAATTTGACAAAACCGATAAAGAGCTACAGGAATTGTTGAAATTTATATTAATACGTTTATAAGTATATGTACCAAAGTATCGATACTTTGTCGACAGTAAACAACTTAACTGGTTAAAATAAAATAGTCACTACCTATTACGTTAAAATAGTTACCGGTTTCTTTAACGGATAATAATAATGTAAACGGTAAAAAAAATAGGCACTATCTATTACGTTAAACTAGCTATCGGTTTGTTTAAAGGTTAATAATAATACAAACGGTAAAATAAAATAGACGCTACCTATTACGTTAAACTACCTACCGATTTCTTTAAAGGTATATTTTTTATCCATACACATAATGCATTATTTTCAATTTTAATATACTCAAACATTTACAACCGACAAAATTAGTACTTAAATTTGAATTTGAATTTCAATTTCAATTTCAATTTCAATTTGAACTCCACTATAAATAGGAGCTTTTCTGTTTTATTCCCTTCAAACAACAACATGCTCATTGCCTCGAGAGGTTCTACTACTGTGAGGCTCGTGCTAAATGTTCACAACACAACACCATTCATCTTCTATCAAATGATATGGATCAATCAACCAACAACTCATCGGAAAATCTCGACCAATCAACCTACAACTCTTTGAAAAATCCCGACCAATCAACCAACTCTTCAGAGATCAAATGTTGTGATATATGCGGAGATGTTGTTTGGAATGAATTAATTAATATATGTTGTGTTTGTAAAAAATGTCATTTGTAAGATTCTTTCCTTATTAACTTCCACAATTTTCGTGTTAGCCTTGATTAATCCTAATTTCTATTGTTTCTTTCCTACATGAAATGCCAGGTATAGCATGCCTATCATAATTTTGAGGCACAAGCTAGAAGATTGGATTTGTGAAGAATGCCTTTCGGATTGAATCCATTTCATCCAGCTCATGAAGATAGGATAGCCATAAACTGAAACAGTCTAAGAGAAAGATACCTGATGGAGACTGATTATTTGATTGATTGCTTGCCTCTATTATATTCAGTCTCTAATGGATACTGATTGTAACCCCTTAGGCCTGGACGTTATGCCCAAATCTAGGCGGTTACATATCTTATTTAGAAATTTATTTTCATATTTAAAATAACGTTTAAATTCATATACAATATAATATGAAATTAGTCATAAGAAAGGTTCATATGATAAACGTCCATATATCAATATATACATGTATTAGAAAAATCGTATAAAGCATATACATAGCAAAATACCGGTAATACAAATATATTGAAACGAAATCAAAAAACAAGTGTCACCAAAGTATAACTAAAAGGTATATAGAGATATACAGTGGTACAAAAATAGGATTAGTTGGTCCTCCTGATGCCAAGTCTGCTAACCTACGGTCTGTTACTATCTGAAAAGGTTAAAATTTACAAAATGAGCTAAAAAGCCCAGTGTGCTCCTTACGGTGTATAAAAACATACAAATAAAATACTTCAGTAAAATAAGTTTATCAAACATATTTTAAAAATATGAACACTACCCTCATCTGATCACCAGAATGTGTAAGTTCCCCAGAACCATACACCCATCTATACACCCGGTAAGAGCCTTATACACACAACATAAGGACATGTGGTAAGGACTTATCATGTGCACAAAGCAGAGGAGCCTTCGATAAGGACTTACCCTGAGCACAAAGCCGATGAGCCTACGATAAGGACTTACCTTGAGCACAAAGCCGAGGAGTCTGCGGTAAGGACTTACCCTGAACACAAAGTCGAAGAGCCTACGGTAAGGACTTACAAGTCATAGACTAGGCATGAGATACATCCTCCAATAATACCACCAATGATAGTAATAAACATGTATGTATTCGAGTGAAAACAGTAGTTTAATTTAGTAAAACATGAAAATATTCCAGACATAGAAATCAGATACATAAATACATAATTCAGAGATCATATCAGAAATGTACAGTAAATCAGATATCAGATGAATAGTATTCAGAAAATAAGGTATCGTGTCGTAAAAATATTCAGTATTATCAGAAATCTAAAATAGTTTAGATGAACAATTTAAAACGATAATGTAACATCATCAGGAAACACACTTGTACCGGTCTAAGTAGTCTGATAAGAAAGCTTACTACTGAGTCTGCCGATCACGACCAGCGGTAAAGCTAGATCATACGAATCGGAAAAATCAATATCGAAATCCTATTATATAATAATAATAATAATAATAACTCATATTTAAATAATTTACAGATACTTACGAGTAACTCTCGAGGAATGTAGATTGTGCGGATTTGACAGAAATAAAGCACTGGATCTAACCGACCCTCGTTCGGGTGAAATACGAGTATCTTCATAAAAATATATTCTCGAATCAATTTCATAATCAAATCCCAAATAAATAAGCAAAAATATTAAAAATAATAAGCATTTTTGGATTAACGGGCTCAATTCGGACATTTCGGGTCAGAATTTGGTAAAACGGATCACATAATTGGACTTAGGACGTCAAAAAAATCAAGATGAATGTTTTAAAAAAAAGTCAACGCTGGTCAACGGAAAACGATCAACGGTCAACAGTCAGTCAATAGACAATGGTCAACGGTCAACAGTCAGTCAATGGTCAACGATCAGTCAAGGAACAATAGTCAATAGTTGACCAGTTCGGGTCGGGTTAGGTCGACCTATTAGCCACCAGGCGGTGGAACTTCACCACGCATCGCGGTAGTGAGTGTGGACGCGTGCGAGGCCCTCGGAGGTCAAAATATTTATGAAAATATTATACGTGCTTTTTAAAGGGTCTTACCAAGCTCTGTTCACATTGATGAATGGCGGAGAGCTCGATTTTGAAACGTCAAAAATTTTATCTTCCTTTCCCCCTCACACGCCGACGATAACAGAGACAATATGGGCATAGGTGGACTCAGGACAATGCAAGAAACATAATGGTGCGGGAAGTGTCGAAAACGGAGCAACGATCGGCGACGAACGACGATTGAAGGTTTTATTTTAAATGAGGAAAAGTTGAAGAGAAAGAGAGAAAATGAGTTTTTAAAAATGGAAATAATTGAATTTTGGGGTTTTAAACCAAACCAAAAAAGAAAATGGGTAAATTACACTCTAGGTCCTCTAATTTTTTATTCTTTTTTGAATTTGGATATGAATTTAATTAAAATTTCACTTTGACCCTAAATTTAGTTAAAATTTCAATTTAGTCCTCGTTTTTTTTAAAAAAAAAATTAGGTCCTAATTTGTAGTGTAACATTGATTACTTGCTTGCTTACATACCTTTCTTATATTTAATCTCCATCAGGTGTGTCTCTCTTAGACGGTTTCGGTTTACAATTATCTTATCTTCATTAGCTGGATGAAATGGATTCAATCCGAAAGGCATTCTTCACATATCCTGTAACCCGTATCCGAGTTTGAGGTGTCACATTAACTTTTCAAAGCGTTTTCCTTTACAAATTGGTTAAAATTTAAATTCACAATTCAAGAAAATAAATATTTTACATTAATTAAAATCAATTGGTTTTACAAAACATATCAGAGCTTATACAATTTAAGTCTTTAGACTACATGTCAACTACATTCTATATAACAAAATATATGTATTTAAATACATTTCTGATCTGATCTTTGGAAAGGATAATCTGACATGTCTTCCTCCTCTTCGCTCCATAATCTCATCAAAACCTACATGTGAAACATACACACGCTAAGTCTATGACTTAGTAAGACATATAAAACATATACAAGCATATATCCTTTTATATAACAAATATACACATGCACATATATCATCATCTTTATTCTTAACATTATCATTAATTTCGTTTATCATATGATCATTTAATTACCATGTATACATATCGTATAACACATTTATCACTTCACAAAGAAACAAACACATGTCATCATACCAAGTTTATTTATATTATCTTTTTATTAACCCATGTACATATGTGAGAACTAAAGATATGTGAGTACATTGAGGTTGTGCACCTATGCTGTCACCATAACTCGTATAATTCCCACTGAGTGGTATATGAAATTTGTCCCGAAGGACCACATATCACATATATCCCAAATGACCACTCCTTAAGAACCATATACATATTCCAATGGACCAAATAAGTGT